ATAGAGGAAAATGCTGAGAGATTATAGAGAAGCTGCAAGCCACAGCACATCTCCTAAGTGTCTCCAGAGAGAAGAGAGAGATTTCCTGTTTGTCCTTGCCTGTCTGTACAGACCTTCAGACCTCTATAGTTAGCTAGTGGCAAGCTCCCTTCTCTGACTCTCGGACAGGCTCTATTTGTGCAAGAAAGATATCACCACACCTCCCTGACCATGACCAATAACAACTTGCAACTAAGCCCCCTAAATGATGACAAAACATCCATAACCCACTGAACAACCAAAACCCACCCACCCCACCTCTTGGGAATGTGGGAGTCATGTTCTCAAAATTGCTTCCTGCTGTCTGTGTGTTGTGGAATATTGCTTTAACTATAAAAAATATGTTACATTTGTTTATCTTGCAGAATATTACTTTAACTATGTAAAGGTAAAATATATTTGTTTATGCCATATTTATTTAATGATGTAAAAATGTGAGGCTGTTTTACTGTGCCTGCCTAAGGCACCTGATTGGTCTAATAAAAAGATGAACAGCCAACAGTTAGGCAATAGAGGGATAGGCAGAGCTGGCAGGCAGAAAGAATAAGTAGTAGGAGGAATCAATGCCTGAAGAAGAAAAAGAAGAGAGAATGAAGGAGAAAGAGAGGGAGACACCCAGGGCCAGCCAGGCAGCCACCAGCCAGACAGATATGGAGTAAGACATACAGAAGGAAAGAAAGACAAAAAGTCCTGAAACAAAACATAGATAAAAAGAAACATGTTAAAATAAGTTATCAGAGCTAGTGGGACAAGCATAAGATAAGGTCAAGCATCCATAACTAATAATAAGTCTCCATGTCACCATTAGGGGGCCAGTAGTTTGAGAAAGCCTGTTAAATCTAGAGGGTGTGATGGCATCTTCAGGGAGCCCTGAGAAACTGGGGGTAATGGTCAAGTCCTGGGAGAGCTAGCTGTATCATTCCTTGTCCAGTCTCTGTGTGATGGGAAGGTGCAGGGCTTACCTGAAGTGCTGGCTGGAATAGCTTGTGAAGCTGGACCATCTTAGCTAGCCACTTTGAAGTTGCTCTGGATGCATGAGACAAGAGAGGTATTCTGAGAGACTGGGCTACTTGTCTTCATTGGTGTCTGGCCCTTTTGTTCTGAAAATACACAAACTCTTAAAGGTAGCATACATACCTGCATTAATACAAGCATGGAATGTGCAGTGTACACAAGTCAGTTAAAGATGATTTTCTTTGTGTTTGAGGTAAAAGGCATCTGCCAACTTTATAAATGTGTTTGGACTGCATAACCAAACTGTCATGAGGACTCTGTAGCGAACAAGATTTATCATGTCTCATCCAGTCTCAGAGCTGTTCCCACATAGAGGGGTCAGTTTATATATCTGTCTTGCAGTTTTTCTTGGTGAATGCCAACAGCCAGCTAGCAAATAAAATTAGGATTAATTTTATAAATTGTAACCAAAGAAGCTAGTGAATTTATTATTAATACTTGTGAATTTATTATTAAATAAATTTTGCCACTGTGAGAAGACACAAGATGTCTGTATTTCTGCCATTGCACACACATAACAATGACCTAAAACAGGTGTGAATAAATGAATCTTGTGATTGTTCCTTAAGGAAAACATAGAAATTGTCTTTTTGTTTTGTTTTTTGTTTTGTTTTGTTTTGTTTTGTTTTTCTCTGTGGCTTTGGAGGCTGCCCTGGGACTAGCTCTTGTAGACCAGGCTGGTCTTGAACTCACAGAGATCCACCTGCCTCTGCCTCCTGAGTGCTGGGATTAAAAGCGTGCGCCACCAACTCCCAGCGGAAATTGTCTTTTTATATGTATGTTATACTGTGCATGTGTAGTGTGTGCGTGTGTGCCATGGGGTGTGGAGGTCAGACAACATCAGGTATTCGTTCCCATCTTCCACTGTTTGAGGCAAAGTTTCTTGTTCACTGATGCATATTCTAGCTGTACTGTGAGCTTTCCAGTGTCTGGCTCCCATCTATCATAGGAGTCCTGGAATTGTAGAGTCAGCTTTACATGGGCTCCAATGATCCAAAGGAGTCCTCATAATCACCCTCAAGTGCTTTATCTTACAGAGCCGTGTTCTCAGTTCCAACATGGAACTTCTTTATTTAGCTCTTATTTAAGCTCAGATGTGTTAAATAAACACTTAAAAATATTACATTCATTATCTAACTCTGATCAAGTTTAGGTGTGTGTGGGGTGAGGAATGGGCTGTTGTATGCCTATGTAGTGTTTATAAGCCCCTTGAGGTGTGAGTGGAAAGGCCTTACCCCCTAGAGTACTCTAACAGCTCTTCAAGTAGCAGGTAGCCAAGTTCCACCCACAGAGAAAAGAAACCCCAAGATCAGGCCACCCTGGAAAGTTCCACCTCCCCTTCAAGAAACCCTTCCTCCTGCTCAGTGCTTTGCTGCTTCTCTCCCAAGTAGAGGCAATCACCCTCTTGTGTTTTTTCCCAACACACTTTTTCTGTGAGGTTTGTTGTGTGGTGTGATTTTGTGGTTGAAAGACCCTCGGACCGAGGAGTCTCCACAAATCGGACGATCCCCCCTCAATGTCCAGTCCAGCTGATGCAAAAACAAGAGGTAAGCTTATTATGGGACGTTTGCGCAAATGAGCCTCCCAGTCCGACAAAGGAAAAGCCTTGTTCCTCTAAAGCAGGCTTCTTTTATAGGAGAAAAACCATAGGCTTTTAGGGGTTTGGGTACATGACTAGAGTCACAGATCCCTTGGAGATCTCTTATCTTTGGGGCGGGATGGTCTCCTGACTCAGTGGGATAGTCTGTTCTTATCTTCATGACCCTAGGGCTGGGTGGCCCTCTAGTAATTCTTGGTATTTAGTTAGGTTGTCTTGTGGCCTTGTAAGGGAGTTATTTCTCCCAGCTAAGAAATTCCAGGGGCTCGGGTCATTGTGACCTTGGTTAGGTTTCTAAGTCAGGTCTCCCTGTTCTTAGGGTGAGAGGTTTGTTTTTCATCTTATTTCTTTGTTAATTCTAAAGTCCTTCATGGTATTCCTTGTTAGGATACTTTTCCCTCAGAGATGTAACACAGTGTTCATTTGGGTGTGTGCACTTAAGTTCAGATGTGTCTTAATGTCGGATTTTTTTTTAAGATTTTATTTATTATGAACACAACATTCTGCTTCCATGTATATCTGCACACCAGAAGAGGGCACCAGATCTCATAACGGATGGTTGTGAGCCACCATGTGGTTGCTGGGAATTGAACTCAGGACCTCTGGAAGAGCAGTTGGTGCTCTTAACCTCTGAGCCATCTCTCCAGGCCCATGTCGGATGTTTTTGTTTTGTTTTGTTTGAGACAGAGTTTCTCTGTAGCTCTGGCTGTCCTGAAGCTCATTCTGTAGATCAGGCTAGCCTTGAACTCACAGAGATCCACTTGCCTCTACTTCCTAAATCCTCTGGAAGAGCAGTTGGTGCTCTTAACCTCTGAGCCATCTCTCCAGGCCCATGTCGGATGTTTTTGTTTTGTTTTGTTTGAGACAGAGTTTCTCTGTAGCTCTGGCTGTCCTGAAGCTCATTCTGTAGATCAGGCTAGCCTTGAACTCACAGAGATCCACTTGCCTCTACTTCCTAAATGCTGGGATTAAAGGTGTGGTGTTACCACCGCCCGGCTGATGTTTTTCCTTTTTTGAAAAAAGAGTTGCACACTGAACCTAGAGCTACTAGATTTTGTTATGCTAGGCTCACTGGCCAGTAAGTTAAAGGGATCTGCTTATCCCATGTCCAATTAGTGACTCCCCACTCCTCCTGGGAGGCCCCCACTGTCACTGCAACATTTTGTCTTTTGTTTTGTTTTGTTTTGTTTCAAGACAAATTTCTCTTTGTAGCCCTAGTTGTCCTGGAACTCGCTCTACAGAGCTGGGTGTCCTGGAATTTTTCTCTGTAGACCAGGTTGTCCTCGAACTCAAGAGATTCACCAGCTTCTGCCTCCCTAGTACTGCGTTTCAAGGTGTGTGCCATCGCCACTGCTCGGCTGTCACTGAAACTTTTGTATGGGGGCAGAGGTGTGGAAACAGGGTTTCTCTGTATAGCCTTGGAGCCTGTCCTGGCATTCGCTCTGTAGCCCAGGCACAGAGAGATCCGCCTGCCTCAGCCTCTGGAGTGCTGGGATTAAAGGCGTGTGCCACCTCTGCCCAGCCTAGTCCCCGTAATTCTTATGTGTATGTTGAGAATTTGAACGCAGGTCCTTATGCTTGCATGTAAGGAATTATGTCCCCTGGTCATCTACCTAGCCCGGTTTTGTTTTCTTTACTTGATTTTGCTGTTGTTTTGCAACAGTATCTCTAGCCCAGGCTGGCCTGGAACTTGTGATTTTCCAGCCTTGGACTCCTGTGTGCTGCGATTACAGGCTTCAACCATCATGTTCCGCCTTCCATTATTTTTCTTTCGTTTTGTTTTGCTAGATAAGGTCACATTATGTAGTCTTCGCTGTCCTGGAACTCACAACATAGATCCGGCAGGCCTCGAACTCACAGAGATCGACCTGCTTCTGCCTAACACATTCCCCCAAACTTAAGTGGTTCCTCAGATCTCTCCACCCTGTGAGGTAAAAGGTGGGCCTTTGCTCTATTTTATCCTAACATGAGCAAACGAACTAGGAGCAGCGGAACCTAAGGCCAACAAGGCAAAACCTGCCTAGCCAGGTTTTACAACTCCTAGCAACCGTTGCCACGACAATTCAACTCTGCTCTGGGCAAATGAAAGCGGTTCCTTCAGCAATCCAGAAGGCGGTGCCAGTCATCCAGCCGGATGTCCGGCTCTATCCCGAAATGCAACGGGGCTCACGTTATCAAGCAATCATCTTTAGGGTGGTTATAAAACTGCCTAAATTTCCACGCTGGTTTAAGGCTTGTCTATATAGGGTTGAAAATAAGAAAAGTATAGAAATATCGGCCCCAATGATTGAACTTTAGAAAGTTTGCTCGTAAATAAAGACGTCGTCAGAAGCCCAACTTTCTCTGCACTCGCAAGGCATATTTTCGGGCAGCCCATATCTGGCAGCGTGGGGTCCTTCGGGGTCCTAGGCAGGGCACGTGAGGGAGGAAGTGGCTCTGCCTGTCCGCGCGGCTTTCGCGTGTTTCTCAACAAGGAGCTATGGGAGGTCTGGAGAAGAAGAAGGTGAGTGGGTTGCGGGGGTGATAACATCTCGGACTTGTCGCTTTCCCTGGCCTCTGGGGACGAGAGGTCAGGAGATGCCGCCGGAGTAGAACTCCCGCGCGCAGGCCCCCGGAAGCCGCGGAAAACTGTGGAGTGCTTTCTGTGGAAGGAACTGTGAAGACGGGCAGAGCGGTCAGACGACAGATAAAAGGAGTGATCCTCGGGACCGAGAGTTAGTTCATCATTAAGACTTAAGACTTTTTCGGTTGAGCCAAACCCTGTCCTAGGTTCTAGGGATTGAGAAGTAAGCAATCAGATGTGGGCTCCGCTTTCCCGGAGTCACTTTTCCCGTTAGACAAAAACAACCAGATGAAGTGGCCAAGGATTGTAAAAAGTGTACTATAAAGGAAGCTAACGAGGAGCAGTAAGGTGGAGAGTAACAACAGACAGTCCGAGGTTCTCTTCTGACATAGCTTTCCAGTGGAAATCTGGACTATCAGAACACTTTCAATGGGGTGTGGGACATGAAAGTGCTGGGGTAGGGCGGTCCTCACCATTCCCCGTGGAGAAATTCTCGGCACTCGGATAAAGAGGAGACTTTGGTCAGCGTGCAGCTGTAGCCTCCCCAGTCATAGCTTAAAGAGGCCCAGGTGCCAGCAGAAGTGTTTCATGGTTTATACAGGGTTAGGCATTGTCACGATCTTATGACTATCTGGTCTTTTACACCAAAGAAAACTTTTCTCCGAGCTAAGCAAGTTTACAGAAGCTGAAATGTGCAGGTTTCTGGTTAAGACAGTTTTATCTTTAGCAAACAGAACTTGCTGTCCGAGTGGGTATTGGTGAAAAGCAGATGTATACCTTTTTTTCAGAAAAGGGGAAAGGATGAGCAGGCTTACAAAAGCAGAAGTCAGTAGTTCAGTTTTAGATCTGTATCCCAGATCAGAGTGAGTTTTTTGTTGTTGTCTTTTTGTTTTGGTATTTCAAGACAGGGTTTAAAAAAAAAAAAAAAAGACAGGGTTTCTCTGTGTAGCCCTGGCTGTCCTGGAACTTACTCTATAGACCAGGCAGGAACTCACAGAGATCTGCTTGCCTTTGCCTCCTGAGTGCTGAGATTTAAGAAAGGTGTGTGCCGCCATCACCTAGCTGAGACAAGTTTTCTTAATTCTATGTAACCTGTTTTTCCTAAGTAAGCTTGTTAATCATAATGCGAAAACCTGCTGTTTTCCTTTTCTCCTTCAGACATACTTAGCAAATGAAACTGCAGTGGAAACTAAATGCTAAGGCCAGTAGGTTGGAAAGGCTGGCACTGTGCAGGGTTTTGGAAAGACATCAACATGGCTGTGATACAGTTGCCATGTTGCCACTTAGGTGATGCCATCTAGGTGATGTTGGGGGCCTGTGTTGTGTAAGGGCCTGTGTTATTCTGAGTGGAGAAAACAACTAAAGAAAGTGACTTGATCCCAGCTATTCTTGCTTCTGTATGGACAATGCCCCGGCATGAAGGGACTTCAGGATGGGGATGAGAAAGAGGAAATGGGCTCAAGTCTTCCCTTTGGCTTGATTCCAATCTGTTTTATTGTTGTTTTTAATTATTTTTGAGGCTATAATATAATTACATTATTTCCCTTTCCCTTTCTTTCTCTCCAAACCTTCCCATATGCTCCCACTTGCTCTTTTGCCCCCCCCTTTTAATGAATTGTTGGTACATACTTATATGTATGTACATGTGTGTTTTCAGGCCTGGTCATTTGGCATTGGGTAGCCAGTTGGTGTGCTCTTCCCTGGGGAAGACTATTTCTCCCACTCATAGCGTTCCTTAGTTGCCTGTAGTTCTTTGTATAGGGTTATGGTTTTTTCTGTTCACATTAGCAAGTCTGTTGTTGTCCTTGTTCAGCTCATGTTTGGGAATGTTGGCAAGATTTGCGGGTATAGCATCTGACATTCCTAGGTGACACAATCTCAACCTACGCCCTAATCCTCTAGCTCTTACAATTTTTTCATCCCTTCTTCCACAATGATCCCTGAGCCTTAGGTATGTGAGTTGTTTTGTAGATGTATCCATTGGAATTGAGCTCTACAACTCTGCAGTTTGATTGGTTGTGGGTTTCTGTAATGGTCTCTGTTGCAAAGAAGTTCTGTGGGTATAAGGATAAATATCTAGAATGTATTTAGGGATTATGCTGGTGTGCTAAAGTGCAGTTGTAGGGTCTCCTCCAGGGTCACTGTCTTTACTAGCCCTGAGTAGTTGGCCAGGTTTCCAGTACCAGACATGTCAGAGGGTCTTAGGTCCAATTAGAAACCTGTTGGTTTCTGCTGTGGTATTCATACCACTCCTGCACCCTTCAGGTTATTATGCCATGCTGGGAGTTGTTGTGGCTCATAGATATCATAGCTGAGTAGGATTATTGGTTGCTTCCTTTCTTTGGAAGCTCCTTCTGGAACCATGAGAGTAGTCCTCAGGGAGTAGGCTTTCAGGTCAGTTTCAGCTCAGTGGCCCCTGATTCCTACATCTGAAGTGGGTGGTTTTTCAGCAATGGGAAAACTTCCATTTACTTCCATCTCAGGTGGGTAACCAAGGGCAACGTGTTTTGGAAGTCTCATGAACAGTGCTGACCAACAACTCCAAAAATGGCTTCTCATGCCTGGGGTTGGGGTTTTTATTTATTTTGTATAGTCCTCTGCCTGCATGTGCCCTGCAGGCCAGTAGAGCGCACCAGATCTCATTCAAGGTTGTGAGCCACCATGTGGTTGCTGGGAATTGAACTCAGGACCTCTGGAAGAACAGTCAGTGCTTTTAACCTCTGAGCCATCTCTCCAGCCCCTGGGGTTGGGGTTTTTGTTAGGTGGTTTTTTACTCTTGGAGGGAGCATTGTCAGCTCAGATGAGAGAAGTTCATTTAAATGATATATGTATATTTATACACAAGCGTAATCTGTATTAGTGGTTTCTTTGTAAATAGATAATTAATAGTATGATCCCTTATTAGTTTTTCAGACATCCTTACTATTATTTTACCCTCCTCACTCCTTCTGTATCTGTCTCCCCTCTCTCTAATTAGAACCTCCTCCCTATTTGTCCCATTTACCTTTACCTGATCACTGGTTGCCTGATATTCCCCTCTTTCTGGTCTGGTTTACCTTACTTAGTATGTTTGTTTTTTAAGTTCTATCCATTTCCCAGGCTAGACCCTGAAGAAGAAGGATCCCAATTTGTTTTTTAACCTAACACACTCATAAACATCCAGTAAGTGGGAGCTACAAACTACAAAAAGGAAAACCTGACTCGGGAGGCAGATAGATCTCCATGAGTTTGAGGCTAGCCTGGTCTACATAGAAGTTCTAGGCCAGCCAGGCCTACGTAGTGAGACCTTGCCTCAAAATAAAATGTGAAACCTGCCCTTGAGTTACAGGTAGAGATGTCTCAGCAAGCTATTACACTCTTCACATTGGATTCCAGAACCATTTTGACAATTGAGGCCAAATTATTTGTTGTGGGAAGGGCTTGTCTTATGCATTGTAAGGTATTCGGTAAAGCGTTGTACTGTCCAACACACATCCTGTAATCCAAACAATTAGGTCACCATGTGAACCAGGTTTAATGTTTAAAATGGCAGCGCACAGTAACAAGAGATACATGTGACACAGGAAAATGGGAAGCATTTATTTTTCAGCATTGGAGTTAGTGGTGAGATAGGGTCTCACTGTACCACAGGCTGGCCTGAAACTCATGTTCCTCCTGTTTTTTACTTCCGGAGTACTGGAATTCTAGGTGTTTATCACCATGGCTGGCTCTTTTTTTTTTTTTTTTTTTTTTTTAACATTTACTTACTTTGTGTGTAAGTGTGTATGTGCCTCCAGGAAGCACAGTGCACATGTCAGAGGACAACTTGCAGGAGTCAGTTCTCTCCTTCCATTATGTGTCCTCATCAGGATTGGTGGCAAGTGCTTTTACCTGCTGAGCCATCTCACTGGCCTCAGTGGAAGACACTTGTAATGAAAACTGTGAAGCTCATCCTTGGCTCCCCCAAGACTTAGCATAGTCCTATTCCCAATAGTCCGTGGATGTCTGTAGGAAAGGCTGAATATCACATTTCATAGCTGCGGGGTTGTTTATCACATAGGTAATTCAGGGGGCTCTGACCTGGGTGCCAGACCTGGGTTCAGAAGCTCCTGCTGTCTCACTACAGAGGAAAATCTTATTTGGAATAGACACGGGTGGTTAGTGTTTCAGGCTGTTGGGAATAGGATGCTGCTTCTCTCTAGCAATGACGTGAACGAGAGCAGCGTCTTAACACCACAGGCTTCCAGAAGATAGGACAAGACAGCTTGCTTCTTGGAGGCAAGTAGAAACCAGGCCTGTTGTGTTCCTAACCCTCATAGCATCTAGCTTAATACTTTGAACGTAGTTGCTGTCTGGTGAATGAAAGGGGTGGCAGGATATGGGGTAACAGTGTATGGCTTAGGACCAGCATGCTCAGTTAGAGTAATGTCACCCCCGAGGGAGGAAAGAATGGACAGGGGTATCTTAGATGGTGCAGTGATTTTCGTCTAGCTCCTGAGAAACATATTCTGTAAGTCTGTAGTATTAGCATTTTATGCAGCTGTGGGGAGGAAAGTATGAATGGTTGCTTGTGGGTCCATATGAAAAGGCTAGTAGTGATGCGGGGATTAAAAAGGGATGAATAAAATTGTGAACACAGGATTAGTTAGGCATGTGGATTCTGGACTTGGGCCTGTGTTTGGAGACCCAACCCAAGCTTTTAAGCTGTGTGAACACTCTCTCTGCTCATGCTTGGATCCTGGGAATCCGCAGAGATCATTTTCTCAGACTGACCAAATGGTGAGACACCCCTTCAAGTGTGTGTATATCCCAAGGATGAGGTTCACCAAGACATTCACTGAATCATTTGTGTTTTCAGAATTATGCCTTTGCCAGTATCTTCCCTCAATTTTTTGGTATTCTATGTCGACTTGATCCACTGAGCCATCTCTCCAGCACCAAGCTTGATTCTTTTCTGAAAAATGGGCATTCTGATGGCACTTATGCCACATGCTTGTGGAGATTGAGTGAAATAAATTGTGGAATCACTTCAAAACCCCAACATCATGTGGATACATGTATACAAGACAGTGCAGAGCTCCTTTGGGCAGGTCATCTCACTCCCTATGGCAGTCCCCATCCTAGAAATATATCTCTGACACCTACACTGTTAGCTGTCTCTAGAATTCATTTTTCCCAGAGTAGGGTGTCACTTCCTGCGGTCATCACTAACAGAGAATTGTTTGTTTTCCTCCCTAAGTATGAACGAGGCTCTGCCACCAATTATATCACCCGAAACAAAGCCCGGATGCCTGATTTCAGGTAAGAACAGAATAGGGGTTTTCTGGGAGCCTGGGTAATGAGATAAATGCACAGTGGAAACACAGCCTTTCTGGAGCATCCTAGCCATCCTGTAATATTCCTCCTCTTCCTCACCTCTTTGCTAGTGAGCTGTGCTTTGCCAGGTGTGGTCTGAGAACTGGTGGCTGCCTGGATGTGTGCCCTTTATCACCTCCCTTCTGACAGAAGGCTTTTCCTGAGTCCTACAGCTGGGGGCTCTCCTTGTAGAGTCAAGTCCAGATGTCTCTGTAGTCTGTGGGTCCTTCTATCTGGCTAATGCTGACCTCTGCGACCTTCCCTCTCTATGTGTGTTGATTTGTGTGTGGGGTGTGGTGGTTACAGGCTTTTGTTGTTTTGAGGAGAATTTTTTTAAAGATTGGCTAACCTCTGCGACCTTCCCTCTCTATGTGTGTTGATTTGTGTGTGGGGTGTGGTGGTTACAGGCTTTTGTTGTTTTGAGGAGAATTTTTTTTAAGATTTTCTTTATTTATTGTGTATACAACATTCTGCTTCCATGTGTATCTGCACACCAGATATCATAACGGATGGTTGTGAGCCACCATGTGGTTGCTGGGAATTGAACTCAGGACCTCTGGAAGAACAGCCAGTGCTCTTAACCTCTGAGCCATCTCTCCAGCCCCTTGAGGAGAATTCTTTTGGTTGTTTTCTGCAGGGCTGGACACTGAACCAAGGGCCTCACACATGCTACTCAAGCACTCTGCCACTGAGCTGTGTCCCCTTGCCTATTTTTGTCTACTTGTTTGTTTGAGATCAACAAACTCCCATAGTGCAGATTAGCCTCAGACTTAGGTTCCTCTTGCCTCAGCCCCCTGGGTGCCAGGAGAACAAGTGTGCATCACCATTCTTGGCTGTCCCCCAGAATGATCAGCACTATGCCTTCTGTATGTCTGAATTTCCTGGAAAATGTGTCTGCCAGCCTTTGTCAGTGCCCTGTCTGCTTCCACTGAAGTGCTTGTGACAGTCTCTTGCACTGGGTGTTTAGGAACTTGTGACCACCAGACTCACTCACTTGCAGTGTCTAAGTACAGGCTCCCATGATTCCTGGTCACTCTTGCTTTCTAGGCCCACTGTGGCCAATGCTTTGCCCCTTTGCTGATTTAATAGGTGGCTTATCTTCCAGGCGGCTGTGCATTCTGAAAGGCATTTATCCCCATGAGCCCAAGCATAAGAAGAAAGTGAACAAGGGTTCCACGGCGGCCCGAACATTTTACCTTATCAAGGACATTAAATTCCTCCTCCATGAGCCCATTGTCAACAACTTCAGGGAATACAAGGTGAGTGAGGCTTGGGTCCTTGTGTTTGTAGCTTTGTGATTCT